TAAGGATGGATTCACCCATTAAATGAGTCAAAATCTACATTATAGTTACCGACTTAAGCATTAGAGCGATCTTAATTAATATCATGTTGAGTGATTTTGATAATTTTTTTTATTTTTTATTTTGAAAGGTAATTAGTTTTGGACTAAGTATGAATTCCATCAACGAAAAGGTCGATAGAGGTGACTTTTTCTTGCTGCGTTTGCAAAATTTTTTGATTGTATAATAATGAATGGAAGTAGGTCTCGAAATACTAGCTACTTGGGGAATTTGAAATGTCTACACTCCATTGTATAAAATTTGTTTCAAGTTAAGTTCTTCTAGATTGTTTAATAATGAATCAATGTTGGTCCAAATACTTACTACTTGACTTGAGGGATTCAAACTCTCTAGAACCTTGGAAATTTCAATATTTGTTCAAGTTAGATTTTTCTGGAAGTGGGATTGGGTAGTTTTAAAAAATTATTTTTTGATTTTGATTTTCAGAAAACATTTTTTAGAAAATTTTACTTTTTATTTTATGTATTTTTTTGTTTTGAATGAATTTTTTTAATATTTTAAGTAATTTTTTTAATTTTTAGGCACACCTAACATAAATACACTTAAAAAGTATAATATTTGTGAAAAAAATATTTAAAACATTCACTAAATATCAAAAATACAAAAAAAAAAAAATTTTTAGACACATCTAACATAAACACACTTAAAAAGTATAATATTTGTGAAAAAAATATTTAAAAAATTCACTAAATATAAAACAAAAAAAAAAAAAATCAGTACATTTTTCCTATTTTTTGTGTATTTATTAATTTTTTACAAATATTTTATTATTTAGATATATCTAAGTAAGGTGCATCTAAAAAAGTAAAAAAATTACTTAAAATTTAAAAAATATTCACTAAAAACAAAAAAACATGAAAAATAAAAAACTCAATTTTTAAAAAATTAAATTCAAAAAACTAAAACCAAATATAATGATTGTTATTATTTTCTCCCCCATTGTGTGAATGTTTGTTTCGTTCACATTATTAAGTTTTTTCTTGTATTGACGACTTGTCATTGTTGGGCTGTTGTTGGACTACATGATAAAGTTGATTGTTCCATTTAATGTAATTCTGATGATAATTATAAATAAATATTCTACTAATTGACCCAAAAAAGTGAAGAAAAACCATTCGAAAACAAGTCTTTAAAAATCAACCACCTAGTGAAATCAGAAACGATTGAAAAAATTATCAATTAATTTTTTTGGGGATGAAAAGGAATTATTCTTTATGGATTAAGAAAAAAAAATGACAAAATAATTAATCAATATTTGAAAAACAAAGAAACTAAACACTCTATACATAAAACTTTTAAATTGAACCATCAGGTCAAAATTGAAGGATATTGAGAGGGTAATTTATATAAATAAATTGGGCCGAGATTGGATAATGGGCCGTTTTGGGCCGTAGTAAGAAAGGCGGAGTAAAATGGCTTTTTTTCATTAGCTCGGTCCAAGAAGGCCTTGTTGTTATCTCGGTCGCCACGGCCAAATTGGTTGGGCCGGTCGTAATCTTTAACCGAGGTATACGGATCCTCTTCGGGACTTTTGTTCTTGGTTAGCTCGGTCCAACTCTTCTACGGGTAGCTCGGTCTTGGCGTGCAAAGCCGAGGTAGAAGTGAGGAACTAAAGAGCCGAGCTAACAGTTAGATCGGTCACTCCAGTTAGTCTAGCATGGCAATGCTATTTCGGTTGTATGGTAGTCCGGCCATGGTAAAACCATCTCACTTGGTTTAAGCAGTGAGGGGGGTGTTGAAGGATAAGCATTATCCTTCAGGAGTATGAATCCTAGGAGGACTCTACATGGAGGAGTAGAAGTCCTACTAGGATTGTGTCACATGAAACCTATAAAAGCTCACAAACATCACCTTTGGAGAGGTAAAACACAACCTTGTTTTCTGAATACACAGAGCTTTTGTCTATTTGTCAAGCTTACTGACTTAGGCATCGGAGAGGTTTCCGGCACACACCTGCCGGCTAGCTCACGTTTGTGTTTTCAGGTGATAAAGCGACGACGTATGAAGGAGCGCAGACTTGATCAACAGGATTATACGAGAAGGTTTATTTCTTTCCCGTACAATTGGCGCCGTCTGTGGGAAAAAGACACAGAACAAAACCTCTTGATCAAGCTTTTCCTCTTTAGAAGCAATGGCGCACAACGAAGATTTGCCGCAATCCGCCATCGACGGACAAACACCAGAGGGGGGTGCAAGGCGCGAAGGACTACCTT